TGTGAAGCATGATGTAGTTTGAATGTGTAATACCAATATACCATATTTAAATTACTAACATAAATATTGTTTCATCTACGACTGTATGTTTAAATCAGTTGAGTTCTGATACTGAAAGGCCTCAGTGGCATACAACAAATGTTATTTACACTTTTTTATTGAGAACTTCTGTTGGATTATTATAAGTTTTTTTGTAATATAACAAATGAAATGATATTAGCCAATTTTTATAAAGCATGTAGAGAATCTTAAAAGCAAGAAACAGGCCTTCAAGGAGCCAGTGTAGGAATCATAGACATTAAGCGATTGGTCATTGACTGCTGTAATAACAAGAGAATCATCAAGACTCCATCCGACCATCGTAACTTTCGTTCAGTTTCAATTTTGTATCTTCCCCTTCGTCAGGACGAACACTGAAATATACAATACGTTTTTATATTCTCTAAGGAATGTTTCAAATAATATTTGTTTTATACGTGGTATTAGAACTATCTATGGTTTAAACAAAAAGTAAAATTAAACATTAATAAAAAAAATATTTACTAGGATTATTTACTAGGTTTTTTATATTTTTAGCCAAGATTATGATTTTCTTTCTTCAGTTTTGTCCTTATCCTAAAGGCAGCCTTCACTACTTAATATCAACAGGGAATGATGGATGTGTGTGTTTCTGGCAGTGGAGCACAAAAACTACCATTTTCAAGTAAGAAATTAGTTCTAATACTGGGGAATTTTTTTTTGGAAGCATGTTCAGTATTTTTATTTTATTTTCCTTCTATTATATACCTGAAAAATATCATACATTTAATAGATTTTATTCTGTGAAGCAAAATCTTGAAAACTTAAAAGTTGTGTCGTTAGTTAATACATTATTTACAAATTATTAGAGAATCTTGTGTGCTCTTGTATAATATTCTGATTAATTCAAAATGCTAATTATTTAGGGGGAGTTAATAAAAAAATGTTACAAATTTTTGCACAAAGTGGCAGGTTTTTACAATTTTTTTATGTTATATTTGATGCCAAACTTACTGACATACAATTATAATAAAGTTTTTTAATTGATTTTGAATGTAACTCGGTAAAAGGTTGTGACATGCGTACTTTGACCGTCATCTGTATTCTAAAGGTTAAAGAAGCTATTATTATTACATCACAGTTTACTTGAAACAGTTAATCTGTCTTTTCTAGCCCAAAACCTCTTAAGTTTACAGAAAGAAACAGAGCTGGAGCCCAGATGATTTGTTCTTCCTTCAGCTCAGGTATTTTTTTTGTGACATTTGTGTATATGTTAACATAATGTTTTTCTGAAAAGTACATAATTCATATGCCATAGATCTTGAAAGGTTGACTTTAATAAAAGTATCTTACAAAATATGTAAATATCTATAAATATTTAGTCAATTTGTTATTCATATTTATTTTGATTTTTGTATTAAAATTCTCGTGGTTTATTTTTTCCAGGTGGTATTTTCTTAGCAACTGGAAGTACAGATCACCATGTTCGAGTCTACAATATTTTGGGGAACAGTGAACCTGAGAAAATCATGGAATTAGAATTTCATTCAGTATGTATGCATCAAAATAATAACAATGGTTCCAGTTAGTACAGGATATCTGAAAAGTCTGGAACAACAGGCTCTTCAAGGAATTTTACACAATGTGTTCCACATGCCGTCCTTGTACTTCGAAACAAGTTTGGATTAACAGGAGGATTTACTTGACTTTTTTTTTTTCATGCTTTGACAGCACCATTATCTGAAATTAAGAAAAGCTGCAAATCATCAATGGTTCCAGACTTTTTGGATGCCTTGTATATCAGTAATTGTTTTTTGGTTCAAAATGGCTTGTGCCTCAAAATGTATAATGTCTCTTGTGACATGCTACCTTTTATACCCTCTCTTTGTTAGAATGTTTACTGCTCACGGCTTATTGGATATAGTAGGATTTGGTCAACATTACAAGATTTTGTGAACGAAGCTCATTTTTCATAAACAATGTTTTATCCCAAAATTCCCAAAATTTTATGGGAAATTCAGCAATCTTCTAGATATCTCTTATGGAATTAATAATTCTTCAGAATATCGATATCTTTTAAAAATAAAGTATCATATTCTGCTCTTTAATTTCTAAACTAATTTTTCAAAAATGATAATAGTGTAGTTTACTATTACTCTTTCATCAGTATAAGCCCGTAATGGAAGGGTTAAGCTCTTATTGTAGTTAATGCAAACTATATAACAGTTTCCTATATACTGTAACATTATGGAATTGGTTTACTTGCATTAGTTCTTGTTAATCAGTTTGTCGTGTTGTTCTTTGTTTAAGCCTTACTACCATGAACTTTCTTATATATTATCTTTGCTCATACATTTTGGCTAGTTATTAGGGTTTTACTTTAATAATTACTTCTGGTTGCCTACTTCATGTTCTGCCCCCCAGTGGCACAGTGGTATGTCTTCAGACTTACAATGCTAGAATTCGGGTTTCGATACCCGTAGTGGACAGAGCACAGATAGCCTTTGCGTAGCTTTGTGCTAAATCAACAACAAGCCTGTTTCTTGTATGTAAGTTATTTTTTATCACATTTAACATGGTTATTTCAATTAAAATAGCAGTGTTTACTATTTATTGTACAGTTTTGTCATTCTTTTAACTTATAAACATTATTTTTCCTTGTGCTATCCTGCTGTCCCAATTCTAGTTAAACAGTAACATATTGTAGTAATTTATCTTGGATGTCAAGCTACTCTAAAGGAACTATTTAAAGGGTTTTACTTTACCTATACTGATGTCAAGTTCCCAAGGACAGAAATTTGGTTTTAATGCATGTACCGTATTAAATTACACTCTATTCTTTCTTTAGTGTTATTTTTATTAACGGTGTTGTTTAGAATGTTAAATATATATTATTATTTGTGATTGTTCTTATTATTATTATATATTTTTATTGTAACTATTATTTTGCATAATTAGCTTAGTATGTGGATTTAGAACTAACCTGAATATCCTTAAGATATTATTGGGATAATAGCCAAAAATTTCATTAATATCAAGATATCGAACTGAATAAATTCTAATCACCATAAGTAAAAACAGTATGTTAAATTAGCTATATTATTTATTGGGTACCTTGCTTTGATTATAAGTTAATATTAATTTTTCATCACTTTATATCCCTCAAGGAGAAAGTTTCATAATAACTGATCCTCATGAAAGAGCCCTGTTTTACTAATTTCTTGTCATCATGAATCTCTTAAAGATAAAGGCTGCAAACTTTACTTTTTTAAGAAAACGTTTGTTATATGTTTATTTGTCTATGGCACAGTGGTTATGTCTGCAGACTTATACTGCTAGAAACCTGGTTTTGATACTGTGGTGGGAAGAGCACAGATAGCCTAGTGTGTAGCTTTGTGTTTAATTACAAATAAAGAAAATATACTATTATAGAAATTACAAAATATTTTCTTGGTAGCTCACTTTTTGATGTCTTATATTATTTATGTAAGTAAGCTGTACAGAAAGTTGTTTGTTATATATTATTTTTCTATATGGATGTTTCTTGGTAATTCACCATCTTTCAAGAATATTCTGAATTTATCTCTTTCTTTCAGGATCGAGTAGATAGCTTACAGTTTAGCCACATAGGTTGTAGGTTTATTACCGGTAGCAAAGATGGCACAGCTCTTGTATGGTGGTATGAACGACAGAAATGGAACACCACTTGCCTAAAGATGACTGCTAAACTTCCAGGGTAACTTGAAAACATTATTTTATTTACATAATATAAATCTTGGACTGTAGATGCAACATAATAATCAAATCTAGTTATATTACAATAATATTTTTGTGTATTTAAAACAAAAGAGAGAATATATATCCAGTAATGGCTATCATTGTGTTACTAGAGGGCGTTACTGCTAAAAAATACTAATGGTAATATTGCTTTATCTAATGATCGAATAAAAAGATTCTGTTAAGAAAGCTAAAATATTGAAAGTAAGCTTATTTTTAAATATTTTCTGGGAAGTAGTGATGAAAGAAACATGATTTTTTTCACAGTATTATATCCAAGTAGATGTTACCAGAAGCTACCAACAACATTGGTTGGCTGAGTGAAAAATATTGATTTAACTTGCATGATGCAGAGTGTATAAATAATTGAAATAATTCTCAAAACTTGTTTAACTTTAGTTAAAAAATAACAACAATTCTACTCAATTTTAAAAGAATACTTTTTTAACATTTGTTTTTATTTAAATATTTTTTATGGGTAAATTTTTTTGTTTATTCTTCTATCTTACAGCATTATTTATGTTATTGTACATTTTTGCTAATATCTTGTTTGAACCATAAATAGTTCTAATACCATGTATAAAACAAATATTATTTGAAACATTCCTTAGAGAATATAAAAACATATTGTATATTTCAGTGTTCCTCCTGATGAAGGGGAAGATACAAAATTGAAACTGAAAGTTACAATGGTCGGATGGAGTCTTGATGACTCTCTTGTTATTACAGCAGTCAATGACCACTCGCTTAAAGTCTGGGATTCCTACACTGGCACCTTGAAGCACATACTGAATGTAAGCAGGCCTGTTTCTTGCTTTTAAGATTCTCAACATGTTTTATAAAATTGGCTAATATCATTTTATTTGTTTGGTTAAGGTTCAATTTAGAGTCCTCTAAACTCAATATTATACAGGTCAAGGTTACAGTATTCTGACACCATGCTAGTGAGTTATTTCAACTAACATATCTGTACACTGAGTGACAAAAACTTGATTGATATACTGGACTCTTTGTTGTTGTTGTTGTTAATTATCAGTTTGTAATAAATACGTAATAGTTTCACATGGGGCTCCAATTTATTATTTGAGTGATTTTTAGAGAACATTAAATATTAATTATCTTCCAGTGTCATGTAACTTGTATTTTACTAATTTGTTAAAAGTTATACTAACTATATCTTTACAAAGAAAACAAATATATTATACAGGATTTAAAACATAGTCCTTGGAAATGTGGAACTTCAATAGTCACTAGATAGTTCTAATACCATGTATATGAACATTAGATAAATAAGAACAAATATTAATTATCTTCCAGTGTCATGAAGATGAAGTTTTTGTCTTGGAAACACATCCGACAGATACAAGAATATTGCTGAGTGCGGGTCACGATGGTCGAATTGTATTGTGGGACATAATATCTGGGGTTGTGATAAAAAGCTTTTTCAATACAGTAAGATTTATAAATTTCCTTTTTTGATAAAGTTGATTGATTTGGGGTTCTTTTTTTACTTGTTACCATTAGCAATGTTTGTTTTAGAAAAAGAACAAAACTTACATTTTTTTATTATTTTTTAAAGAAATGGATTTTAAATTTCTTTCTTCATGTATAACCATGAAAATTATAACATAATATTTGAGTGAAACTGCTGTTGTAATGTTGATAAACATTGTAGTATTTCAGCATTTGGAACAGGTGTAGTAACATCCCAAATTTTGCCAAAGCTTAGTTCTTTAGTATAGGGTCATGGTAATGTTACTACATTTTTCTAATTTGTCTGCATTCACAACTGCCCTTCTTGATACTGTTTTCCTTTATTTATTTTGATATTTTGCTGGTTTAGAAATAAGGCCATTCTCACAACAAGTAATTCTTATCATTTCTGTAGTCACAATTGCATTTTCTGTTTTTTAACTTTAGATTGAAGGACAGGGTCACGGAGCTGTGTTTGACTGTAAGTTTTCCTTTGATGGACTTATGTTTGCCTCTACAGACTCACATGGTCATATTAGTATCTTTGGACTTGGTTCCAATGAGCGATACAAAAAGGTACTAATTTTTTTTCATAATTATTGACTTATTTATTTTTGTACTAAATATTATATAAAGTAATGTTCACTTATCTTGATATTAGTAAGTAATGCTTTCGGTGTATCTCTCCTTGTTCATAGTTACTCATTTTGATTTTAGTAAATATATTTCATAACATTAAACTTTGAAGTAAATGTTTATTGGGTTCTACGTATTTCAACCTCAATACCAGATATTTCAACCTCATTTTTATATATATAGATAACCAAATCATTTGTGGATGTTTGTTCTGCAGAAACCTTTTGTCCTCAAAACATATGCTAACACTGGTCCCTTGTGTTTAATTTTCAGATAGACCTGACAGATACTTCACCACTAGGGTTTGCTTCTTACATCAATTTTTGACCCTACTGGAAGAATTAATCCAACCACTGACTCACACACACACACACATGCCTTTTTTGTACATAATAATTTGCCAATAAGAAATGTACATATTAAATGCTACATCTTATTTGGCTAATAAGAGTCAAGTATTTTAACAGTGACATGGTATTATGTTAAACCTTTCCCTTCACAGCAGGATATCAATTTATGCGTATGTTTGTTGTGCCATAGAATCTACTGCGTGTGCTAGCTGTCTTTTTCCGAAATGATATCTTACCTCCTCTCCGAACGATATCTTACCTCCTCTCATAAAATAGCTTTTCTCAATTAGTACTGCCTTCTGTCGGTGCAACTTTTCAACGCTCACAACTATTCTTCCACCTCCTGCTTTTGCATATCCACATACGAATGGCCATGCAGCAGCTTTCCACCAATAGGAGTGTGACTCAACCCCTGTCATAACCAGCGCCCTCTTCACATTTGCAGTCGTTAATCACATCTCGATTAGCAGTACTATTGTACAGATGTGCCGGTTTTTCCTTTTTATTTATCAACATTTTACTTTCTACTACAGATTTAGTTTTTCTTTATTATTTATCTCAATTTTTGCATTTTGAAATTATGAAAGGTTGCTTTTTCAGGGGCCTTTTTAGCTAGTGTATTGTGGATCCCACTCTGTGGCAAGCAGTGCCTGACTAGGTATACTTTTTTTTGAAAATCCACACTGACCATCTTGTGACCTGATGTACAATTCCAGACACTACCAGGATTTGGTTGAAAACTCTGTCGATCTGGTAGCTCTGCTTTTCAAAATAAGGTATCGTGGTCACCCGTTGCACTTTCTCCAGTAATGCAGTCCTCTAGATTCTTCAATTTGTTTTTTCCCTCCTTTCTTCTGGTGAAGTATGGGAGTTCCTAGCTGCTGAAATTAGGGCAGTGGCATTCTGCAGATGACAATGGCGTATAGTTCACGACTGGGCCATCTCTGACCAAAACCAGACCCACCGGGAGTGTACCTCTCGAGGATAGTAGGAAGGAGAAATGCCATGGAAGAAAAAAGCAATCAGTCGGATATACAGACAGTAATACGGCGTAGTGCTATAACCAAAACTTGGTGGCATCTGCAATGGAACATCAGGTCCATGGCAGGAAGATTAGAATCATGCATTGATGCATTATGTCCTTCATACCACAGACCTGATGTACAATTGCAGATACCGCAATGTTTTGGCTGAAGCACTCTTCCGTGTCATGACTGTATATCCCTTTGGGCTGAGACGTTACTCCAGCAAAGTAATTCCTCACATGTGTGCTGGTAGGTATCCTTCCTCCTACCATGGACTGGATGACAAATGCCCACTGCCACCAAGTTTTGGACTAGAGATGCACCTCAGGTTTGCAGTCCCTCTTCCTACCATCTTCTGGACATCAGTTCCTGGCAGATCTGGTGTTGGTTGTAGCTGGATGCAGCATGTTTTCTTGCTTGTGCACGGCCTGGGTATCTTCCTCTTACTGCAGACTGGAAGTACCATACCCACTGCTGCCAGGCTTTGAACCGGAGATGTCATCCTGCTAGGACTTTCCATCTTCTTATCGTCCACTAGATGTCAATTCCCGGTGGATCTGGTGTTGGAAATGCTCACAAGTGGAGACGGATTTTGGTAAGGAAGGTCATCTTCCCTACCAATTTCCATTTTGAGGTAAGCAGTGGGTGATCCTCTGCCTACCAAGGAACTGATGTAGCATTCCAGATACCGCCTGATGTTGGATGAGGTCGAACTACCACTACAGTCTGTCATGCCCTAGCCACTCGACACCCAAGAGTCCCATTCATCAGTCATACATTTTCTGGAACTCCTTCATGTTTTTCCACTTTTTATGTTCACGACATAATAATGAAAGAGTGAAGAGTATACCTGGGTCAGATGTGGTGCAGTCTCCTATTATAATCTTTGAGTTTACATGCACCAAATTTGTTTATGTTGTTTCTTTAAAATACATTTGTTTCACTCAAGTTATTCTAGATTATGAGTATACGATTTAATAACTGATTTGATATAAGTCTAATTTGATGCTACGCACAACTTGTTTTGTAAAAAACATTGAACAGAAAATGATTCTAATACGTTTGCTCTTGTTTGTTATTTGTTTTTTTTCTTTTGTAATAAATTTTCTGTGAAAGGTGCCAGAGGAACAGTTTTTCCACACGGATTATCGACCACTGATTCGTGATTCTAACCAGCATGTCCTGGATGAACAGACACAATGTGCCCCACACCTGATGCCACCACCGTTCCTTGTCGATATAGATGGGAATCCTTACCCCCCTCACTTGCAGCGACTTGTTCCTGGAAGAGAAAATTGTAATGAGTCTCAGCTTATTCCATACATTGCTGTCTTAGCTGAAGGTAACTGTTGTTATTTACTCCTATTACTAGCTTATAGGGGCAAGAACATTTCAGTAGTCAGTATTTCAAATATTTTCGTGGATTTTTTTATATGTTTCCTGAGTTGTGATTGGTATCATGCTAAGATATTTCTTGAATTTTTTTTTTTATTAATTCTTGGATATTAACTTTATTAATTCTCTCTTATACAGGTGTTGAAAATGCTTCATTAAAATTTCTTAATCGTATTCTGAGACTATAGTTCTGAGAAAAGAAATCATCTTGTAATGACTTTTAACCAAAATCATGTATTAACAATATGATGTCGAAAATATAAAGTTGTTAGTGTTATCTAGTTGGCTGATATAAAGCGATTAAAAAGGCAAATAATGATAATAAGAATAATAATGAATACTGACATAACCTGTGGGCTTTTATAAAAGGAATTTATGTTAGTAGCATAAATAAGTTAAAAAATTTCTCAACTTTTCTGTATGATGTTCTATGTTCTGAATTTTGCTCAGGGTATTTTTATATGTAGAATACGAAAATGATTAAATCTGTACAGAATTGCGATCAATTTTGGTAAATCCAAAAATCATTAGATGCATTGTGAGCCGTGCATCAGGTGTACATGGAGCATGTGTTATTGTATTCATAGCAAGTGCATTTCTGTTAATGTATTTTTAAAGATCAAACAATTAGATAGAAAGATGAATTTGTAGTTTATTTGGTATTACCTACCACTGTTTCCAAGGGCAAGCAGAAATTCTCGAACCAATACGACCAGTGGAAAATGACCAACAGAGACGAACTATTGATGAAATGATTGAAAGACTTCAGCAACAGCAGAATGTTCGTCGAGTGAATCCCCCAGGAACCCCTGGAGGAGGAGGGCGAGAAAATGATCGAAATGCTCAAGGCCCTCTCTCACCTCGTCTGCTAGTCCAAAGATCATTATCTGGTAGGTATTTTGTACAGATGTGCATTGTAAACTATTCAGATTTGCATGACCTTTCTCTGATTAAACATTTAGTAATTCCAATTTTTTTTGTTATTTTATATAAGTTTGTAATGTCTTCCACCCATTACATAATTTTTTACGGAAAAATCAGATCAAAGTAATGTACCAGTGATAATGTAGAAATGTTTTACATATCGTTTTTGGTTTATAATTTAATCATATCAGATCAGCTGCTTAAAAAATTGAATTAAACTTTTGCCAAACAGTAAGAAACATTTGATACTTAGAAAGTAGGCTCAGGCTCACAAAAATAAGGATATCACATTGAATAAACCTGATAAAATTTAGTAGATTTTGAGAATGTATAAGCGACTAACTAACACAAACTAGCTGTTTGCATTCATATCTGCCCAACAAAAGTTTAAACAAATTTAAAGTAACAGCAAACACTGTGTCATCAAGAAAACTATTCCACAAGTTCATATACTTAACTTGGAAATATTTCCTTCCAAAGAACAGTTATAGGTCTTGATTCCAAAATCTTATTATTCCTGTTTTTTTCCATCACTTAAATAGTTTAGTGAAATCTCTAATAATTTTGAACATTTGAATCAATTCATCACTAGCTGTCCTTGTTGCTCAAACAAAATGTATGTAAGCAAATTATAATATTGAAAGTTGGAACAGGCTTAGAGTTATAAAGATAACAGTATGTTTCATTTGTTTAAAGTCTGCCTCAGTTTGTTGACATGGGTATTTGTGTGTCTGTGTATAAATGTAAAATGATTTCATTACTTTGAAATTATGTAGTTAATTATTTATTTTATTTTTAATGATTTTTTTTTCCAATTTCTCAATTCTTTAGTGCAAATGATTATTATGAAATTCATGATTCTGGTTTAATAGAGTAGTACTTTAATTTCTCTGTTACATTTTTCTACTTGAGTCTTTTATTTGCATATCAGGTTTGATCATTTGGAATACATGTTCTACTGGAAATTAGTACTCCAAATATGAAATTGTGTGGTTAAGTTTTCCAGGTTATGAGTATTTTCCAGTTATTTTCCAGGTTATGAGTATAGTAGGTTTTCAATTATGCTTCATAGTAAGCATTTAAGTATATGTTTTTTGGCTATTGATAAAATCATATGTAAAAGCAAAGATGAGATTAGTTTTAGCATAAGCTATCTAAAGCTTTATGTTTACAGATAAAGACTGTAAAGACTTTGTAAAACTCAATTTCAAAGTTGGATTTGTAGAGTTAAACATTTTTGTAAATTGAATCATCGTCATTCTATTCAACACACAAGTTTCTCAAGAAACCAGATTATGTTATTACTAATATGTCTTATCACTCTGGGATCGTGGGTGCATTATAAGGGTCACAATCAAATCCTTCTGTTAAGTTAGACAAGAGTTGTTGTTGATCACTGGATAAAAACTTGTTAGTATTTAGTATCCAATTAATTAATCAAAACTAGTACTAATTAATAATTAGGCTTAGGTCATCATATAGGCTATGACAAAAACTTTAAATCTAGTTTTTCGTTTTAGATAGTTGGGTGTGTAATCACTAAAGAGATTGTAACCAGATTTTTTTCAGGATTATATCTTCATTTTATTAGTTTTGTTTCTACCATTTGTAAAGTAAACCTAGTACAAGTTATTCTGAATTATGCTTACAGTATTGTTAGCCTGGAAATATCTCAATAATGATTTTATTGATGGTAATATCAGTGATATGTTGATCAAAGTGTACATCCTTAAATCTTGGGCTGATGTGCCTAAGAGACCTATAGTAATAATGTTATCTTATGTAGGACAACAACTGCAGAGGTTAAAGATAAGTTAGTTTCAATTTTGTTCATGTAAAAAAATATGCTCCTGTGGGTGTTACAACTTACAACTTTGATAGTCAGTCGAGCTAAGGATAAACAACAATTATAGATCTGAGAGAGTGATAATTAACAAAGAAATTATCCTCAAATTATAAAATTGCTGCTCTAGGTTCTTACACCAGATACAATTTGAGTAAACTTTTTGGCACTCGTCGTCACATCTGCATCTTTCTTGTATTAACTTTTTCTGTATGACTGAATCAAAGTGTACATCATGATCTTTTATAGCGTTACATTCAACAAACATGGAATGAAAATGTTTATAATTTAAATTCTTATATATTGTATAAATTATAAATTAATTTAAAAATGAAATATTTAAAACAACATCTCAATCTTAATTTTTATATGTCATGTGATGCATCTGAGCTCTGAATTTTTCACTTCAATATTTTCTAACTTTTGAAATAGGCTGCTGTAGTTCACAATCAATTAGGAACAAATCACACATAATTAAAAGAAAGAATGTAAAACCTAATACCTTTTTTATTTGCTGAGATATGAATAAATCTGTCAAACCAACCATATAAGCCTCTCCCTACCCTGACTTTCAAGATTGATTATTAATCAACTTATGTAGCTGAGAAACATTTTTATAACTTTGAGCAGATTCTCCTCTATATTATGTTTGTAACCATCCTTTTAAAGTTAGGAGGGAGGCTATTCACTTTATAGAAATACCTTGTGTGATCATGGTTTTACTGCTCTGAATGGCTAACAGAATTTTTATAAATCTTTTTATAGCTTATTCAGAAAGTTGGGTGAATTATTGTAGATATATTTTTGTTCTAAAATATAAATTTGAAAATTACAAGAATTTTTTTCAACACCCAAATTTGTAAGACTGAATGCTGCTTAGAGGAGAATGTCAAATATTTTTACTTGAGTAGAAACATTTCAAATACACAGTGACTAATAAAAATCCTTTACTTTTATATATGTATTTAATTTATTATTTTATACTTTTTAACAAAAGTAACTAAAATACAAAAATTAAAAACTTTTCAGCTTAGCCTAACAAAACGTGAGTAAAATGAAATGTCTAAAATTACACCACTTGAGCACTAGTACGAAATACGACATAGATCTCTTGCTGCAATATTATCTCTGTGGAAACAGCTAATTGACTCCTACTGTGATTTATTGCTTTTTACACAAGTGTTACTGTTCCAGTGGTACAAAATATGGTAAAACCACAAAATTACAAGAAAACAGATATGAAAAAAAGTTAACGGTTGAAAGCGTTAAGATAAGTAATTTGGAACTGTCTGATCAAAAATCACTGTACATTGATGATTTATGTTAGAAAATGAGATAAAATTTACAGTTTTACATAAAAAAAAAATTTGATATTCATTTAGAAAGTTTTAGGGGCTATGCAAATGAAATCTTAAAACTGTAAGGTGAAAAAAGTATTTTGTTTTTAGCAAACAAATTTAGATTTAGATTCAAACTGAATCTGTAAAAGCTTCTGAAATTAAGTTAAATCTTCAGTTGAAATACTTTATCAAAAAAGCTATTTTTTATGTGTGTTTGTATAATATATTTATAATATTCACTAAAAGCCTGCAAAGTTGTTTTAAGGTACACATAGTAAATTCAAAGTTATAATATGTAGTTTCAAGGTTTGTCAAATCGACCTCTTTTGTTTCTGTATAGCTAAGAAAATTGAAACTGTACACAGTACTTTAAATGAGGCCTAATTAAAGTTTTGTACATTATAATAAGTTTGTTACAATAAAATCAAAACTCCTATAAATAAACCTTAAACATCTATAGTTCTTTTCACCGTATCTAAATAATTAGTTGAACGTGTTGTTTGTTAATAATCATAGCTAAGTCCTTTTTTAAAACTCCGGTAATCTTCTCACATCTAAATTATGCACTTTGGAAAATTGGATTATTTTATACTACTTAGTGTTGAAACTAGTTTTCAATCTGTTCAGTTCATCTAAATTAAAACAAAGATCAATCTTTCTCAGCATTTTAGGGTTAACAGTGAAATGGAAGCCCTGAAGAAGAAATAAAAACAAAAAGCATTCAATTTGCCATCTCACCATTTTTTGTTGAAAAATCCATAGACCAAGATTTTGTGTGTGTGTACCCTTAGTTAGATTCTATTGGACTCAGTTAAAATTTAGAACATGGATAAGTTTATTTTAAGGAATGTAACTAGCACAGTTAATTGTTTTGGGACTTTTGTTATTCATCAGAGTCCAATAGAATCTAACTAAGGGTACACACACACAAAATCTTGGTCTATGGATTTTTCAACAAAAAATGG